AACCGACCGGTTAGGTTGGTTGAATTGCTTCTAGGCCCATGTCTGGTTCACTGTTCCGGTTTGATTTTTCCTACATTGACGTAGTCAGTTTGCCCAATTGTTGGAAAATATGAGTGATCTAACCGTCAACCGTCTGGTTAGATTGGAATGGTTTTGGCTGGTTTTGGTGACCAGGCGGTTATTTAAAATAAAAAATTCAAAAAAAAATTGTAAAATATCAAAAATAATAACTTTTGTTTCTAATGTATTTTTTTAATGCTTTTTGTCATTATGGCAAAGAGTGGAAATTCTTTTGGTGATTAATAATTTTTTTCATATTTTTTAAATTCTTTTAAAAAATACCCCTACGTATAAATTGATTATTTAAAAATCATTTTTTCATTAATTTTCAACTTCATTTGGATGTACTTTGTTCAATATTTATTTAAATATACTTATCATATTTTATTAATTTTTTTTGTAGTTTTTTAATTTTTTCAACACTTTTTTGACCACCCGAGACTTGCCGGTTGAATCGATCGGTTTATCGATTAGGCAGGTTGAGCTGCTTCCGGGCCATATCCGATTCACCGTTCCTGTTTGATTTTACGAACACTGGTTTGCCCTATGAAAGGATTTTGTTTGATTTATATAGCGAACAGTGCATAGTATACATGGAAATCAAGCTAAGGAATTTTTGGTGCCGATTTGCATCATCCAATTGTATTGGATGGTATAAATGTCAAGCGGCAATGAATTGGATTAGAAAGTCGAGTATTCTAAGCATTTGCTTTACATGATCTCTTCAGTATATATATGTTTTGAACGGTAACGTACGACTTATCATTTATTCATATATAAAATACAAGATATTCAAGCAAAGACACAAGATTATAGAAATGAAGTAACCAACAGAGAAGGAGTATGGACTCCTCTTTTGACAATAATATCCGTATCTTCATTTGCCTCTCTATAATAATGTTGGACCGTTGCCATAGATGTTGACAAAATATCAGAAATTTGATAAAAATAATCCTTAATCTCCAAGGAATATGGGTTTTTCTCTTACTTCAGGCAATGACATTTGCCAAGTTTCCTTCGATAATCATACCCCTTTCCAAAGTGCATAACATTTTTAAACCTTCTAATAAACTTTATGCTTCTGCCTCGTTTGCTGTTGTGAAACCAAAAAGATCCGAGTAAGAAAATATATTGTGACCCAAATTAATTTTTATGAGTCCACCATAGCCAGCTAGCTATGGATTGTCAAGTGAACTTCCATCTAAATTAAGTTTGAAAAAATTCACTGGTGGTGGTATCCAAATAACCTCATTACGAGTGTTGGTGGTAACACCCATAGTCGTCACTGCCAAGGGATTGTTAATGATAAGACTTTTAGGAATAAATCTACTATCCTTATGTGCAAGGAACCAATCAGCTGCAACTGCCAAAATATTCGATTTTAATGTATACAAATCTGTACTTATACTATCAAATACTATTCTATTTCGTTCCTTTCACACATTCCAAATAAGATTAACCCAAATAGATCTCCAAATAATAGTTCCCATCTTTAAAATATTAGGTGTGATCCATTAGTCAATAAGAGCTATGACATTTTGGGGTAAAGATAATGACAGATTGAGGCACTGTCAAGCCCAATCCCAAACATATATAACAAAAGAGCATGAGAAAAAAAGATGTTATGAAGTTTCATTATTGTATTTGCATAAGATACATACATGATCTCTTCAATATCTATCATGTCCTACTTTAAATTCAATATATATCATGTTCTACTTTCAATGCACTCATGTACATCTTATCTATGGTAATGACTCGATAATGCAGAATGGAAAAGCTCCACAAGAGCTACACAAACGAAAGTTCAATGCATACAATGCCACGCCACACCCCTAGTCATTCATGTATTATGGCTATACTATAGAAGCGTGTATGGCAATGCTCTTGCATGAATATCCATCAGGCAAATAAGCCACTTAGGAAGATTTTCTTTTCTGATATGAAATTTTTAGATCCATATAGGAAACACCAAAATATAGCTACCATCAAACTAGGGTTGAGAATTTCCTCATTTTGGATCTGGAATTCGAAATTTGAATCCGGATATAGATCTAAGTTTTGGATCCGATGGTCAGATTTGAATCCAAATAGTAATTCCAATTGAATTTGGTACAGATGGATCCAATCTGGATCCAACTTAGTATGCTATATATTATTTTATATAAACATATATGTTGTATGGCATTTATTGTTATATATTATTTTATAAATATAAAAATATAAAATAAATTTTTTAGATATGATTTAGATCTAAATATTATGGATCCGATCGAATCTAAATCTGAATCATGATCTTATAATACTTTTCGAATCGAAATCCAGATCCGATTCGATCCATTCTCAACCCTACACCAAACCAACCAATACGAACTAAGAAATGAACGATGTTTGCCTGAAATGAGCCAATTACCTTAAAAAAAAATGGCATGACACGTAGAGACATGCATGCATGCATCAATTAAAAACTAAACATAACTAAATGTGCACGAATAAGAGCATCACACATGCTTGACACAGGCATAAGTCATGAACACATGTATGCATAAATTGAGAACTGAACAAAATTAAATATACCCGAACAAGGGCAAAATGTATAAGAATAAGAGCATCACAGATAAATGTCACAGAGGTATACATCATAAACACATGTATGCATCAATTAAGAACTAACACAACTAAATGACCATGAATAAGTGGATGACACATCTTGATGATGAGTCCTTAAGCGAGAACAATGTAAGGAGCCAAAGCTTTTTGGGGGGTTTGATGTTAGTACCATTCGGACCACCCAATTTCATTTTGGGAAAAATATCATTAAAAAGGGATGAAGCCCCTTATCTCTACTACTATTTTAGGGTATGTATTTTCTTTTTTCTTTTCATTTCATCCTTTAAAAATTATTTTAAAAATTATTTTAAAAATACTTGTTCAGTATTTGGACTGAGAAACAATGAGAGGCATTTAAGTAATTTATAGCCCAAATGATGAATGTACATCTAGATATTCTATATTAGTAATAGATAACAACTAAGGGTATTTTTGATATTGTATACATGCAAAAGCATTTAAGTGCAGAATGACAGAAATACCTTTAGTTATTTTGCATTATAAATATTGAACAAAGTGTTATTTATTTTCAATGTAAAACAACTAGAGGTATTTTTATCATTTGAAAGCTTCTTTGAGTCAAATTACTGAAATGACGCTCATTGTTTCCTCATTCCAAATACTAAACAATGATAATTTGGGTAGTTTAAAAAGGAGGTATATGACTGAAGTAGAAAGGAAAAAGTATACCTTCAAATGTTTGTAGGTATAATTGACCCTTTTAATGATATTTTTAAGGGGTTCACGCCCTTTAATAACATTTTCTCTTTTATTTTTTATAATTCAAAAGTGGTCTAATGGTTACCACATGGGACCACCTCATTTATTGGCTATTCGGGGCTTCTTGCTGCCCCAAAAACAAAAAATAAGAAGAAAATAAAAAACTAGTCTGATAGAATAAAAATCACTAAAGAGGCCTCTACATTAAAAAAATAAAAATAAAAATCACAGAACCACAATTGAGTAAATTCTGTCAATATGATATAATTTTAAAGTTATTGTAAGAATTTTCGGTACAAGAACTACATCTTTAGACAAAATTTAGAAGTGAGACAAGTGGCACCCGTTTTAATTCACCATCCATCTTTCTCTCAAAGAGAAAGCATGAGAAATGCCCTTTTTTTGTAAAAAAAAAAAGAAAAAAAAAGAAAAAAAAGAAGGAAGAAAAGCTAGGTTATCTCCCATATAATATGTACAGACAAACCCGAGGAATAAACTGGGGCTCTTGTTTTTTTTTCTTTGGAAAAGGCTTCTTCCGTGTATTATAGTGAGAGGAGAGAAAAATTGCAAGCCTCAACCTTATCGTGTATATTTTGCAAAGAAGAAGTAGCCACACATGCTGACTGCAAGGAGATGTGCCCACGTTGTACACAGATTGAACCCACATAAACCTTTGAGAGAGAGAGAGAGAGAGAGAGAGAGAGAGAGAGAGAGAGACGCCG